GATTTTGCTTGCCTAAGAGGCCACACAGACCGTTCCACATCTTTCATTCTACTTCAGACAAAATAAATAGCTATTTGAGTGTTGTTGACTACCTGTTCTTTGCAAGTCAGATGAATAACACTTTGACAAGTCTGGCCTGGTGGAAGTCATATGCTTAAATAGCTTTTAAAGTATAAACAGACAAGCAGCTTTTCTGTCCACCTGTGACTATGCACCTGCTTCTTGCAACACACTAAGAATATTTCCTGTTTGAGGGAATGACAGAGCTTTTGTTGGTGGGATTTTTGGAGGTTGCTTTTAAGATTGCTCAACATCCTGCGTGGTACCATTGGCTACAACATCCTGTGTGTGTAGGAACAGAGAATAGTGGTAAATGCAGATTGGCTAGGTGAGTATGCATGGGGGCTCAGCTCAATGTTGCCATCAGTAACTTCAACATTTTTCTTTAAACACTAAAGAAATAAGCATTAGTGAGCAGAATAATATGACCACTCCCCTTATTTGGAGAAAGCAATTATGTGTAGAAGGGATTGAAAGGCAGAAAAAAAATCACTAGGAAGTTACTAAAATTTCTGGGTGTTGAGAAATGAGAGAAATTGAAAAGGAGGACAGGGCTTCTGACATTATAGAATTCATAGATTCTATCAACAGATTTTGCGTATGAGTAAATAAGATGAGGAAGATACAAGTTGCGACACAGATTATCATCTGTTATGTATTGTTAAACAGGAAGGCTCTCTATTTTTGATTGATTAATTACATGCAATAAGCATTTGAGTCATTTATTTAACTCTGAATAAATGAAGAAGAAGCCAGTGTTAGAAGTAAGGTCAAGTGTAAAGCCATGGATTTGAAAATCACAGGCAAATAATTGACACCACGTGACTGAATCAAACACTTAAGGGAAAATACACAGAGGGAAGTTTCTCTGAAGACTTGGTGAAATGTAATTTCGTCCCATTCTTGAATTGCTTTCTGGCAAAACTCATTAAACCTCAAATCCAATTGCATTAGGTTTTCTGATGTGTTTTTCGTGTCCTCTCTTTAAAACTTGTTTCCTGATAGTTGCTGTTTGAGAGCTTAGATATTTAAAAAAATATATTACAGATGTCATGGATTCTAAGATGCATATAGTTTTCAGATGTAAACATCTGGAAATTGAGCTGGGCCTTATCGTGTGCCACTGTCTCACACGTCAGTTACATTAGCAGTGGGTTTTAATTCATGTAGCATGGACATGGCCCCCTTCTTTCAATGGTTTGTCCGAGGACGTGTCATCTCTATAATGGTGTGAAGGTTATATGCATTCAGTAACAAAGTACTTTGAATTTGATCTCTTCCCAGGCCAGTGGCTGCAATTCATACTCTGTGATGCTGGGCAGTGGAATCGAAGAGCAGTTCTAGGTTGGTCATACCGATGACATGAGTAAAAAAACTGATACTCAAATCAGCAATTTTTAAGTTTTGGTATAGTGGTCACTTAATTACATGGGTTATTTATGATACACTTAATTATAAAATAGGCTTTGAGTTAAATGATTTTTTTTCAATATGTATTTTTCAAAGATTTTATTTATTTTTGCATAGATGAACTGGTGTAAGGGGTGAGAGGTATAGTGGGTGAGAGGATTCACCAGAGATAGAGTGGGAAGCGGAATAGGCAGATTGATGAAATACACTGCTGAGGGGAGCAGCGGGTGAGATATGAGAGGTCTGCTGGGCCATGCAGGTCAGCTCCTTAGCGGGCGATTGAACTCAGGCCATTGAGTGACTTAATCCGCAGGCCATCCACCAGGAGGTGGAGTTAGATTTTTCCCCCCAGCTGTGAGTGCATGTTCTCAGCATGTCTAAGGCAGGCTAGGGTAAGTTTGTTTAGTAGGCTGCCTTTTTTTTTTTATCTTTTTATTAATTATATTTCTCCTAATTGTTGTAGTCCCCATAGTTTACCATATTACTCCTGAACCATCACTATCCTTTTGTGTTTTTTTCCTCCAGTTTTGAACCATCACTATCCTTTTGTGTTTTTTTTCTCCAGTTTTAGCTGTCCATTCTTCCTCTCCCTTGCTGTCTGCCTCAGATCAGGTCAGCATGCTTGCTTTAACTTTCTCTTAACCTTTTTTTGGTTCTGTTTTTCTACATTCCACATATGAGACCATCCAATATTTTCCTTTTTTCTTCTGACTTATTTGGCCAGGCAAAGGTGTTTTAGATACAGTTTAATAGATTTCAACCTATGATAGGCTCGGAAAGTAAACCTATCACAAGCTGAGAAAGATCCATGTAAGATGATGGTGCGTGTTATAACTGACCAGTTTGCTGTCTATAGTATTCCCAGGGGGACTGACTATCCTGCCATTCTAGTTTCTTTTCCATTAGCTTCTTATTCCCCCAAATGGGTTAGAACTATTTAAGAGAAAGAGAAGTACAGTTTCCTATGGGCAATTCAACTAGCCATGAACGGACAGCAGACTATCTTTTATGGGATGGCAAGGAGAAAAAAGCTAAGAACGGGGACTCAAGTGCTCTGACTTTCAGATTGAAATAAAAAGTTCTGGGGGTAGCAGAAGTGAGATGCAGTAGAAGGCCAAACAGTTCCAGGAGCAGTAAAACAGATTTGCTTCTCACTGCTTGCAGCCTAGAAAACTGATCTCTTGGAGAAAACTTAAAGGCACTGGAACAAGATGTTGCTGGTAGCTGACAAATGGCCAAAGAAGGTGCTTACATAGATGTTCCTGAGTTATCACTTCTGGTTTCCCATAGTTCACAAAGAACTAGAACTTTCTACATATACCAGAGAAATAACTGAGTCCAGAATGAACACTTGGCTGAGTTGATGCTTGAGACACTGAAAGGGAGGGCCCACTTTGTGGGGCTATCGCACGGGGCAGTTAGGACCGCCCAGCGGGGGAGACCACACATGCTCTTCCCCAGTGCCAAGGGGACATGCTAGTTTCCCCCTGACACGTAGAGGACATTGGGGCTTAGCACTAGGGAGATGTCCTGAATGGGGAGGAACCTCACATGGGGGATTTGATTTGAAGTAATTGAATCTGCCTCTGAAATAAAGTGTTTCTTTTTTATAAACTGGAAGAGACTGAGTTATTTTAATTGGCAACATTCTCCCCCCTCTCCCCCCCCTTCATAGTAAGTGAGAAAGCAGAATGGGCAGAAAATAAACTTACAATAGAAAGTTTACATTTTAATCTTACTACAATGGGGTTAAAGAAAAATCAGGGTTAAAGAAAAAAACTGACTCTGCATGTACACTGGGAAATGGAAATATTTATGGTGTTGTACGAAGATGAAAAGCCAGAGGAAAACAATGATCAGAAAACAGAAAAGCAAGGAGTTCCTCTCAGAAGCGGAGGAAATTTGGAAAAGTGGGGGCATGAATAAGTCCCCTGAAAAACAATGTAGAAATCATGCATAAAAAAAAGCAGAAAAGG